TATCGCACCGTAACTCTCTCACCCGTATCTTTTCTCAGTTCCACACACTTAAGTATCAACATGTGAGTGTAGCAAAGTATATAGACCAAGAAGTGCACCGTTATCGAATATGATAGGGACAACCATCCTCCGTGATTTGTTAAGTAAACACAACTCTTGCTTTGACCCCTCATCTCCACATAATGTGGTGAATCAAATTTTTCTATTAAAAAATTATCGACGTATATGTACGGAGTTTGTCAATTTCTCTTTTAATCTATTAAAATTATCCCTGAAATTTGTGGACATGTGAGCGAAGTGCAGCCTTAATAACGCATGTACTATCAATAGGCTTTAAATCAAATAATGCAGATAAACAGATTGTTTTACACTGCTTTTATCCTCCAAACCTGACCATGCGATCTCAACAATAAAATCCTTCTGTTTGGTGCTAGTAAGGGGCTCTTGATCACTATATTTCATGTTCCTAACTCATTATAAGTTCGTTTAATTCTCATAAGCATTTAAGTAATATACTTTTTTTTTGTAACTAGGGTACTGCAAGTTTAATCTGCCCGAAATGCATCGCATAACGATGAGCTTTTCCACGTAAAGAAACCAAATATATTATATATATATATATTAATATATATATATATATATATATAAATATATATATATAATATATATATAATATAATATATATATATATACATATAATATATATGTCGTGCCGAATATGTAAACTGGTCAATTAGCAAAAACTCATTTAAAATTAAGTTCTTTCTAAAATTTTCTCTTATACGTTTAAAGATATATAATTTTCATTAATGTTGATGTAAAAATTTATGATTTTGCACCAAAAGAAACTTAGAAAACTTACCTAACCTTATTACAACAAGCACAATTTATTTTAGCCTAACCCAACTAAATATATTTTAGATTTGTTTACAATAATTTAATACTAAACAAACACAGTGAAATATATTTTTTTCGTTAGGTTCAGAATGATTCTGGCGAAATTATTGCATACACAAATTTTCACTTGTCCTATATGGCAAGATGAGCGTTGCTATTTAAGCCAAGATCGCAAGATCTGCCTATTCGGCACGACATATATATATATATATATATATATATAATATATAATATATAATATATATATATATATATATATATATATATATATATATATATATATATATTGTAAAAGCTATGCAATGCCACGGAAAATAAACTTTTTTATTTACTTTATTAAAAATCATGAGGTATCCCCCTATATTTGTGTACCTGTACCTTAGGGGAGAATAGCACGCAACCCAGCCCATCCACCAGTACCTCAGCACACGCAAAGGGCCTAGTAGTTGAACCCGCAGAGACGCTGCAGCTGTCTCCCTCAAGAGGCCCAGGAGCTATAATTCAACCCTCTCCACTCAATGAGGGAAATGCCTTGAAGCTTGTGAAAGGCTTTTGATCCCAGAAATTGGAGCTACCCTCACTTTCCTCTTATCAAATTTGATTATCTCGCACTCTGCATGACTGGGTGCGAGATGGACTTGCCTAACATTGGAAAGCTGCCCCGATGATGCAGTATTAATTCGTTCTTGTCTTCTTCCCTTGTTCTTTATGATCCAAACTGGTTTACCCTTACCCAAAGCATATAAATAATACGGTAATAATAATAGGAAGAACAACAACTGCAACAACAAAACACACACACACAAACACACACACACGACTCGACCCCTGCAACCACAAATAGGTGAGCACACACACACACACACACACACACACACACACACACACACACACACACACACACACACACACACACACACACACACACACACACACACTCACACACACACACAGTCTTCTAACACTACTTTTTAGACAGACCTATAGTGGTGCAGTGAAAAATTCACTGACCCAAACCTGGCCAATTTTTATGGACTGATTTGAGACTCAATTATTAACGCAAACTTTACTTTCTGATCAATTATAGTTGAGATACGTAACGATAACCTTTCCATTTCTCCAAAAGATAACATCCTGAGACCTTTCTCGGCAAATCAAATCATTTTTTAGCCTTCCAACAATCTGGAATACAATGGGAAATGGAAGATAATCGTTCTTACCTTGGTGTTCTAATTGCTACATCTCATGTCATGAATAACAAGTAAAAATATCTGTAATATGGTTTATGTTTCCTCAGCGCCTAGTGTGTGTCCCGTCTTAGTTTTATAGATTAAATAAAAATTACGAATTATTTTCGAGATCAACTTTACGAACAGCAAATCTTTTTGAAAGCTCATATCGCTGCCAGACATTTTTCTTAATGCAGTTTAGGCATCTACATAACTATTTTAATAAATGCTTCTTGAGTGACTGCTCTGAAAGGCTTACCTGATAGAAGATTTGTGTCAGAGTGGGCACTGATGTGGTTTATTGATGTAACACCGGTGTATATATTTGAATCTATAACCAATAACAATCTAAAATACTCGGCGATACCTGAAACTGTGAAGCCGATCAAAACAATCTCTAAAGGAATCTCGTGGAAATTAATTTCGGAAATGGTCAATATAAAACTGAGCAGAGAGCACCTGCTCATGTTAATCGCTCTACGAACCTTCACCTAGTAATAGCTGACCGGGGGTTGAAATCTGAAGGCGATTAGATACGGTGCTGTGAAGTTATAAACGAAAATCCTGGATGGAATAAGAAACTGTAGCAAACAACTGAACAACTCTAACAGCAGGCTGTGCGGTATCTAGGAGTTCAATAAACTCATGAAATTTAAAAACACTATAAAAACGCGAGTTTTCAATATTCAGTTTACTTTTGGAAGATGTATAAATTTAAAAATTCTCTACAATTCTTTTAAGAAAAAACATTTAGATTTTTTGAGAAAAATTCCAACGATTCCAAGTTTAGAAAAAAAAAATATCTAGCGCAATGATAAATTTGCCGATACACAAACTAAGATGAATGAATACCACCCTGGTCATAACATGTATAAGCCATTAAATATTAAAGCCATTCAAAAGAGGAAGACTCGCATATTTTCACCGTAATGATTAAAGGGAATCAAAATTTCAGAAAATTTTACACATAAAATGACCAAAGCTGCACCATTTTTTTTTTTTTTTAAAGTTTGAAGGTACGTCACTGAGGGCTTTGGAAGTGATCTCAGCCCTTCCAGGATAGTGGGAATGGGTTCAATAACTTTGGTCATACTGTAGGGCACCTGCACATGCCAGTTGTTCCCAGAATCGGTCATTCAAAATCTGAATCCGATCAGATGAGTTTTCGAGTTATGAGTGAAATAAACTCCAAAAGTAGGGAAAAAAAAAATTCAAGCAACCACTTAACTCTTCGGGGGTACCTAATAATTTCAGGAACTGGAGAACAAAACCCTTAGAGAGACCCAGGAGCTTTAGCTCAATACACCTAAGAAGCCTAGTACCTGTAGTTTAACACCCTTGGAATACCTAAGTGCTGCAGAATCAACACCCTCAAAGGCCCAAGAACTGGAAATTAACCCGTTAAACAGTTAAAATCTAATGACACGAAACTAGGCTGACGATATCCATAGAGTTTTTTGAGCTTAAACCGAGGTACATATATAGAAAATATTTTTTTTTTTTTTTTTTTTTTTTTTGGAGGGGGGGCAAGATCTCTCGTATCACGGAAACCAACAGACTGATCTTCATGAAACCCATGACAGTTTTTTCCTATAAAAAAATAATGTGCTACCGCATGGAATTTTAATATTTATAAATGAAAGTTGAATAAACTTGATTTTTACACAAACTTTATTATTTAAATTAATTCACGGAAATCTTGAAGGTAAACAAAAATAAAAAGTATCAAACAACTATGGGTATACTCATTAGGGTTATTGCTAGTAAAATATCCTCCCATTATATAGTTCCCTCCTCTTTAACTCACTCCCATTTTCCGAAATGTTGTATTTCTCATACGTAATGTTCCTATTCTTCGTATTCTAAATATATCATTTTTTTTATTTTACTCCAATCTCTTATTTGAATTACAAATACCTCCCAACTAGATTTCCTGCTGTGCAACTTTCACTAAATACGGTTCACTACAAATATTTTTAGCTTTCCAAAGAGTAAACACATATTATACATGAAAGATACTGATTATTCAAGAAATTTTCAGGAACTTTTTCATTGGCATTTTTGCAGGCGCATCTTAACACAAGGCTGGTCACAGTAATAGCCTCATTGTATACCAAGAATTTATAATAAAAGCGTACTTTAAAAATACTATAGTAAATATAGGCAACATATAATCTGAGGTACACTCAATCACTGTTCTGTACTGAGCTTTGATGGGGAAGAATAGCCTAAAATAAATGAAACATTAACATGAAGAAATAAATCCAGTACATGTAAAATAAGTTAAGAACTGGCAAAGTTTTGTAAGAAAACGAAAAAGAAAGATGAATTTTTCATTACTATTCATGAGAAAGTTTAGTTTGTTAGGCTTAAAGGCTCTCGAGAATAGAAAAGCCATTAAAGCGGCTGACTTGAACACTAACATAAAAAATAAGTTAATCCATATTTTAGACAAAAAAATAAACTCTCAGTGTATGTGCAGTAAGAGATATACACCTCTCTGCATATACGTATATCCTTTATTCACGAAAAAGAGCTAAGATGTTGGAGTCCAAAAACACTAAACTTCTTACGAGAGCAAATACCCTCTCCATTTAAATCCAAGCACAATACACAGAAGAAAAGAGGGGATAGGATCATAAAAAGAGGAAGGAAAAATAAGAATTTACAGAACTATAACAGAAATCACTATCAATAAAGACTTGAAACTAAGTATAATTGCCCCATATCATGACCTCTTGAGCTGGAATGTTGACGTGGTCGAGTGACATAACGTCATGACAAAGCTCAAGTCTTTGTTGATAGCGCCACTTTGTATCGTAAACTTGACATCGACAATGTGAAATGATCAAGAACTATAAGAGAAGAGAGTACCTTCTTCCTGGAGGCGTCGCACTTCAGCCAGGCGCGGCTGGAGAGCCAGGTTGAACTGGTGGGTGAGGCGACACAGGTACAACAGATGTTTACTCTTCTCATCACTCGTCGTATAGAAGGTCAGCTTCCCAGGATAGCTAAGTGCTCGCACTTCAAACTTCTTTTTCTGCAAGTATATGCACTATGAAACATTTCGTGTACTCCAGTGATCTTGAACATCTTTTCCTAAAGACCAGAACCGCATTTTCTTTTGGAAACTATTATAAACATTTTAGATCAAATTGTCATAGTTGCTTTTTGCCAATGACATGGTGATTTGAGAGATTCTGAAGAGTAGTTTCAAAGGTTGGTGAATGAATTTGGGAAGGTATGTAAAAGAAGGAAATTAAAAGTGAACATAGGAAAGAGCAAGGTGATGAGGGTAACAAAAAAATTTGGTAATGAAAGATATCAAAGTGGAAGGAGGGCGTATGAAGGAAGTGAATGTGTTCTGATATTCGGGAGTTGACTAGTTGGCGAATGGGTCTATAAAAGACGAGGTGAACCAGAGAAGTGATGAGGAGAAAAAGGAGAGTAGTGCACTGCGGCATCTGTGGAGACAAAGAACATTATCCAGGGAGGCAAAGAGGGAAATGTATGAGAGCTTAGTAGTACCAACACTCTTATATGGGTGTGAAGTATGGATTATGAATATTACAATGAAGAGGTTGGAGGCAGTGGAGATGTCGTGTCTAAGGGCAATGTGTGGTGCAAATGTTATGCAGAGAATTTGTAGTCTGGAAATTAGGAGGAGCAAGATTACTAAAAGAATTATCCAGAGAGCTGAGGACGGGTTGGTGAGGTAGCTTGGACACTTAAAGAGGATGGAGCAAAATAGCATGACTTGGAGAGTGTATAAATATGTAGTGGAGGGAAGGCGGGGTAGGGGTCACCCTAGGAAAGGTTGGAGGGATAGGGTAAAGGAAGGTTTGTATGTGAGGGGTTTGGACATCCAGCAGGCGTGTGTGAGTGCGTTAGACAGGAGTGGGGGCTAGTGGTTTTTATGATCTGCACTTTGAGGGGGTTTGGAGGGCATCTGAACTGTAGTATCAGTGCTCCTCTGGCAAGACAATGATAGTGTGAGCAATGGTGAAAGCGTTTCTGCCTCCTCGGGTTACCCTGCCTCGGTGGGAGATAACGGGTGTGTTATATATATATATATATATATATATATATATATATATATTATATATATATATATATATATATATATATATATATATATATATATATATATATATATTCAAGGCGGAGGATTTCCTTGATACAGATGACAAGAAATGTTAATCCCGTAATTGCTGTACAGTAAATAGGAAATAGAAGATAATCAGGCATGATCCAAAGAAGGGGATGGTAGTTTTAATTCCCTGAATCGAAAGTCTATGGTCACTCACAAATTGTTCTTAAGTCATAATTAAATTAAAGAAACCTCCTCATTACAAATCAGTGACCTCCTACTGGATCAAAGCCTCTTTACTGATAGTCATAAATCTTTATTTTTATCTTATGCCAACGTCGAAAACTTACTGAGTGCCTTTGTGAAGACATTTTATCGTTAACATAAAAAAAATAATTAATTCAGGTTTTTATGATTAGAGATTGTTCACTTTGCACTCTTCTGTAGTATACAAGACGAAAGTCTGTTAAATTCATGTACGTTTGTTAGTGTAAGAAGGTGGCAATCCGTGGTCGCATGGCAGAGTTACATTGTAACCTCGGGCTGGTGTGCTCCACTCCTCACTTATGGTGAAATGTACCTTTGTTTTTGTTTTTTTAACTGTCATTTATTTTATTTGACACAGTTTGAAATATGACTTAGACATGTGTACTTGTCATAAAATATACGTTTCCCACAGAATTTTGAAACAAATAAAACGGAATAAAAAAAGTGTCTTCTGGAAAGTCTGAACATCTGGAATAAAATTACAATATTCCTAATGTTGACACCTCACCTTTCTTGAAACATGACGAAGTCCTCACCGCCTTAGTCAAGTTTCACAGCTCATGGTGACACATTTCATTACTTTATGTATCGAACACCATCCCTGTGTGATAGAATATGACAGGGAAACATATCAAGTTCTTGTTCCCACCGTGTGATTATCATACAGAGTAGGAGAGCGACACAGTGTTTCTAGTGCAATTCATAAAGGAAAATAGCTGCCTACCACTTCGCAATCAATATTATGTTTAGCGTCTGTCACTCAAAGGAACTCTTAATGTCTCCTACTCCTGCAGACTCTGAACCTCTTCCTTCACAATTTTCAGCTCTCAGCACTCTTCAGAGCACTTTTTCAACAAGATGTGCTAACAGGTGCGTTTAATAGTATGATTTTAAGGGTATGTTTAATAGCTGTATATTCCTATTTATAGTACTTAAGGAAGAGACGGTTAGTATATAAGCTTCCAGTAGGAGAGAGAGAGAGAGAGAGAGAGAGAGAGAGAGAGAGAGAGAGAGAGAGAGAGAGAGAGAGAGAGAGAGAGAGCATGGAAAGGAGGGAGAGAGCCTTAGGCAGAAAGTAGGCAGGTAGGTGAGGAGAGCGAAGGGTACTGTTGTGAGGGGTGGAGGACGGTAGCAGGTATTAGTGTGGGGTTTTGTGGGGCTCCCCGAAGAGAGAGAGAGAGAGAGAGAGAGAGAGAGAGAGAGAGAGAGAGAGGAGAGAGAGAGAGAGAGAGAGAGAGAGAGAGAAAGGTGGATAAAAAAAGTTTTTATTCAGGTTCATCATATGTTTAGCTCTGTACAAATGTCTTACAGAGAAACAACCCTTTAACTTAATTTAGGATAACTCAGTAAAGTCAAACACTGTGGCTTACCTACGTTGGCATCTTTGTGTTAAATAAATATTAATCATACGAATATGTCAGTCAATATTAACAATAAAAAGAAATATAAAATGAATAAGGAAGAAAGGGAGATGAGAGAGCTGGAGAGAGAGAGAGAGAGAGAGAGAGAGAGAGAGAGAGAGAGAGAGAGAGAGAGAGAGAGAGAGAGAGAGAGAGAGAGAGAGAGAGAGAGAAGAGAGAAAGAGAGAGAAAGAGAGAAAGAAAGAGAGAAAGAAAGAAGAGAAAGAGAGGAGAAAGAGAGAGAAGAGAAGAAGAGAGAGAAAGAGAGAGAAAGAAAGAGAGAAAGAAGAGAGAGAAAGAAAGAGAAGAGAGAGAGAGAGAGAGAGAAGAGAGAGAGAGAGAGAGAGAGAGGAGAGAGAGAGAGAGAGAGAGAAAGAGAGGAGAGAGAGAGAGAGAGAGAGAGAGAGAGAGGAGAGAGAGAGAGAGAGAGTATGGGGGTGGGATGGATGTTGTGGTGTGGGGGGCAGGGAGGGCGGTAGGCGGGGCCCAAGTGGCAGGAACCCGCCACTGTGTTACGCACACTGATGCCAGACCTCGCTATCTGACCCATCCCTCTCCACCTGCCCCACCTCCACCCTCACACACGCCCACCACGCCCTCAACCTACCATCCTCAAGCCTATACTACCCACCCACAGTGCCTCCAACGCCACCCAGACCAACAACATCACCATAGCCAACACAAAGCCTGGGCACGGGGGTAAAATTCCAGCAAACGTGGCACTCGGGCTCTGCGAGATGCCATCAAGTGTTCCCTGAAACCCAGCTGACCACACTCCCTGGCTGACCGACTCTGATGTTCTTTACAGCTCCTAAGTATCGGGTTGTGCTCCACCAACCACCGTCCCCGCTTAACCAAAGCTCTAATGGCAGAGAGAAGCCAGCACATCTCACCCGGGTATAGCATCCACTGCTCCCAAACCTACTATGGAACTCCACTCTAAACTAAAATTTAAAACTTCTTTTTTACCCACAGCCCAACAAACACCCGTAGATTTCCGATACGAAGCCGTAATTTACGACACGAAAGGAAGAATAATAGCGAAGAGTTAATGAGAGGGAAGAGGGAGGTGGGGGGATGGGGAGAGATAAATGTAGGTAGCAGGTAGAGGGTGGTGGCGGCGGCGGAGGTGGGGAAGGAGGTGTTGAGCACAGTAGCCGGCCAGACACACACCCGCTCACGCCTCCCTACCCCCTTACCCCTAACCCCTTACTCAACATCCACATCTTCCCCTCCCCCCAATACCGCACAATTTTGTTTAAAACTCTCATCTCTTCTTAAAAACCATAGCCCCTCCCAAGCATGTGTTTCCAACCACAACACACACGCACACACACTTGTCTCACCCTACCCCCTACCCCTAAAGAAAAAACCAGGCAAGGTACTTGGGTTAAATCTGCGAGCGATGCCCCCAGTGAGGACTGCTGCCACTACTCTACTGTTGCAGCGGTGTCTGCACCCACCACCGCCACCACCACATCCAATAATGTCCTCTCTACAAGCCACTAATACAACCCTTTATTTCCCTCATCTCCATAGGCACTACACACTCCTGACTTATACACAAAACACGAATAAGAAACATGTTCTTGATAGAGAGATAACGCTGATAATGCTGGCCATTCATACATTATCCCATACGGGTATAGCATTTGTTACAGTATATACATGCATACGAATATACATACATTCATGTATACACATAAATAAACACATACACACAAGAAGGAAACAACGAAAACTAGTCCGTCACGAGGTGTCGAAATGGGTGCATATGACGAGTGGGGTTCCATAAGATCAGTCTAAGGATCACTACTGTTCCTTGTATACGTGAATACCATGACAGAAGGGATAGACTCACAGGTATTCCAGTTCACAGACGACGTGAAACTAATGAGGAGAATACAAACGGACAAGGACCAAGAAAGGCTACAAAGAGGATCTCACCTTCAAGGATCACAACAATGTCACTATCACATCTGCTAGGAAACTGATAGGATGGATAATGAGAGCATTCAAGACAAGAGATGCTAAGCCAATGATGATCCTTTTTAAATCACTTATTCTTTCTAGGCTGGAATACTGCTGAACATTAACATCCCCATTCAAGGCAGGTGAAATTCAAAGCTAGAGAATGTACAGAGAACCTTTACTGCACGTATAAGTTCCATCAAACACCTTAACTACTGGGAGCGCCTGGAAGCACTCGACTTGTACTCACTAGAGCGCAGGCGAGAGAGATATATCATAATCTACACCTGGAAGATTCTGGAGGGACTGGTC